GAATTCTCCACTGTATTCAATGTAAGGAAGCTGGGCATACTTCTGAGTTTACCACAGGTCTAATCTTAACCCATCAATTCCAGAAGACCCAAACATAGCGCAAACCAGCCAGCCTCCTTCAGTTTGTTAAAGATGCGGGTCTTTGTTTTATTTTTATCTTTCCATGGTTTTCTTTTGTTTTAACTAGCTTTGGTTAAGGAAAACATTATCGGCTTTTGTATTTTCTCACTACATTATCACCCTTTGTATCTTTTGACTACATTTTCGGCAACTCTCTCAATTCAGTGTCTTCTATGTTTCTTTTCACAGCATTATACTAACATATAACAATAGAAAAGTGAAATATCAAACACAACATAACATAGATAGAGTCTTACAACCATACACACAAATAAAGTTATACAAGCACACAACATAGATAGTCTTAAAACCAAAAGGCAACATAGATAGAGTCTTAAAACCAAAAGTCTAGATAAAGTCTTACATCCGAAAGCACAAAAACAACATCTTCCAATTCTAACAATATTAATACTTTGACATCACCATCATTCCTCCAAATACCACAGCAAAACCCATGGACGAAGCCACAAGTACATTGCGCAAAACCGAACTCCTCTCCTTTAGAATCAACACCTCTATCTTCAAAGCTTCACATTCTTCATTCTTTTGTTTCATACTCTCCATTAATTCACTCGAAATTTCCAAATTCTCTGAGACATGATTTACAGATCTTACCTGCTCCCTCAGATTTGCAATCTCCTCTTTTTGTTCTCGGATTGTATCCCAAGCCTCCAAAAGCGCAAGATTCTGCCATCCATGAGGTTTCTCAACATCATACCAACGGAAGAAGTTGCATGACTCGAAATCACTCCCAACACGGCGTCCTCTGCAGCTCAAGAATCTTCGACCTGGGTTTTCACGGGTCCAAGCTCTCACTATCTTCGTTGGTCGGTTACAATCGCAAGCTACAACATTGTCGTTTGATGATGAAATTGCTCCCTAAGAATTCACACTTTAAGACATTCTCGAACTCTCTCTCTCGAAATCTCAGTTTCTTTCACCTTTGCTAACAGTAAATTCCAAATCGAGGAATAAATTTTGTTTTTATAAACCCAAACCTTTCAATTGAAAACGTATTTAAAGCTTAATTAAGCACTTTTTTAACTAAACGTCTGTTACAGCTTCTATTAACGGCGTCTAATGTATTGTTAAGTTTTGTAACGGTCCGACGGCGATTTGGAAAGTTAGGGGTTTAAACTATTACAAGAACAAATTTGATAGTTTGAAGTGTTAGTGGTTGAGTCTCGAGGTTTAAAGTGCAACCTTTTGCCAACTTCATGATTAAAAATGCAATTTTCCCCTTTAACATCTGACTTCTGAAGTTTTTTTTTCTGGTTTTCCAGTGTATTCCGAGAACTCTCTGATGTCGAATGAGCTCCGAGGTCTTTCGACAGCGAATGAATCCGCGGCGCCTTCTTGCTGTCGGATGGGACCAATCAAGCGCCGGCTATTACCAAAAGCTCGATCAAACTAAAGGATATCTCACGACCTTCTAGTGATCCTCCTTCTTCCGCCAAGTCGGATAGGCAGTTGGTCAGGAGGTCATCGTTCAGGAACCGGAGATTCGTCGCGTGGAGCCGAGACCTACAAGATTCTCCTTTGATCCCAATCCTGGTCTCTAACGTCGAGGGGACTTCTGGAGTGGGGGATCCCCGATTTTTCTGAGTCCAGGTTCGGAGGAGGACTCTGCTGCCAAAGATCGCAAATTTCAACGATTGTCGCGAATTGCAACTCCAACATCGCGAGATTTTTCTTTGCTCTGAGATCGCGATACATCGGCTCCGAGTTCGTCTGTTCTTCCTTCGGCTTCTTTCAAGGAGAGGGAGACATATGCCAGAATTGCAGAGGCCAACTCCAAGGTTAATTATGTTCTTTTTCGTCATGTTTTCAATAAGTCGATCTCGTCCTGATGTCCTTAGTATTTTGCAGGTTATGATCGCCGTCGACGAGTCTGTTGCAAATTTTGAGGGCCACGGCGAGAAAGAGTTAGCGAGATCGCGGACTGAAGCGAAGAGTCTAAGGGAATCGCTCCAGAAGGTCAAGGAAGACTTCAAGAAGAAGACTAGGAAATCTGCGTTTCTGAGGGATGAGTGGAGGAAGACTCGTGAAGAGAGGATGGTATTTGAGACCAAGGTTTCCAATAAAAAAAAACCTTGGTTGCAAAATTCCTTGCGGAGAGGGAACGAGACATCCATCGAAAATCTCGTGCTATGCGTCGTGAGATCACCGATCGTTACAAGGAGGTCCTAACCATTGTGGAGAAGAACTGGTCAGAAAAGAAGGAAACCAACGAGGAGATTCAGTTGAGGGAGGTGATCTTGAACATCGACCTGCTTAATGAGATCAATGATGGTGGATTGGTCATCGATGATGAGTTAGCTCGTCTTAGGGAGATGGAGAAGGACTGTGAAGGCTTCGTTGAGCTGGCTGCCGTCGCGGATTGGTGTATCTCAGATTTGGATCTCCCTGAGGTTTCTGGTGATTCTGTTGTTTCAGAATCTTATTCCGAGGACCGAGCTGATTCTTAGATTTAAGATTTTTTTTTTTTTAATTCTAAATCGGATATTTTGTTTTCGGATGTTCCATTGATAACCACAAGTTTGTGGTATCTTTTCTCTTCTGAATTTTCGAGATTTTATCCCTTTTAAGTTGATAATATTCGTTTTACTTTATCTTTATAAATATCTAATTCATTCTTTTTATCTTCTTATTCTTGGATGTCATCCTTCTATAGTCGATCATGAAATCGAGGAAAAAAAATTACCGTGAGTCAATAAGAATTCGTAATCAGAATAATGGAGCGGGACGAATTTGTTCTGGTGATGTGAGTGAAGCACTCACCGAGGTCCTTCGCGAGGAGCCTCGACTTCCTCGTGTTGCGGCTCGATCTGAAGCCAAGGTTTCGGATGAACCAAAGATCGCAGCTCTTTTGAGTTCTGGTAGTCCGAATATTTCGGAGGGACGCGATCGTCCTCCAAAGAAAGCAAAGATTTCGAGGAATGATGCTCGATCTGGCCCCACGAACGAAGGTGCAGTCGCGAAGCTGTTTCACTGGCAGTTTTCCCATGCAAAGGATTTTGCGATCACAGACGATCCTGACAGTGTCGCTCACTTGGTCAGAAGCCGGTTGGGTGTTCCCTTCCTACACTGCGGAACTTGACTGAGCGTGACGCCTATGTAAAAATGGTGGTCGCACATGCTAAGGTTGGTTGGTGTGCCTTTTGATCTCTGATACTTACCTTATTGTTGTGAGTATTTCTGATGCCATTTTAGGCTATGGAAGTGAATAACGAGTTTGCGACGACTTTGGAAAAGCGTTTCCGAGACATTCCCCGAGCTGACAAACTTTACAAGGTCAAGAAGATCGTTCGTGAATTTAAGCTTAGTTTGAACAAGGCCCGGGATCGGGAGTGTACAAGTGTTGCTCAATTGACAGCGGCTGAAAGATTGGGAAACCAGGCCGCTTCTCTTGAGGCTCGTCTTCGGTAATGAAAGGAAATCGGCCTTAGAGCAGGTTTCCGCGCTGGAAATGCAGATCGAATCTCTGACCGCGATTCATGCGAATGAACTTCGCCGTGTGACTTATGACGCTAAGAAGACTTTTGCCGACGGCAATCTGGATGTTTTGATGTCTTTGAAGGAGAAGTGGGAGAAGAAGAAGGCTGCAACGGATTGTGAGATTCGATTGAAGGAGGTCTTGGCTAACATCGAACTTATTAAAGAAATAATGTACAACAATCTGCTTGCTTCTAACGAGTTATCTCGCCTTTGAGGTAAGGAGATCGAATTAGAAGCCGAACTTGATGTGGCCGTGGTGTCGGTTTTTTTGGTTGGGAAGCTGAACTTTCCTCTGGTTTCTGAGGATTTACTTGAGGATTTCTTCTGTAAGGTTCCTCCTGGTGGAGATGAGTCAGGCGGCAAGCAGGGGCGTAATGGGGACCGTTACGAAGGCGGCGAGTTCGACGCCAATGAATAAATTTTATCGGTTTGTATTATAATATATATTGTTTTGTTTCTTTCTCCTTCTGGTGACTTTCATAAAGGATGAATAATAGTGGTTTGTTTGATTTCATTTTACTGTGAGTGCGCGACCTTTATTAATATTCTCGTGGTCGTTGATCGAGTTCGATAAATATCTTATCGATAAGTTGTGTTTGAGTAATGATTTTACTATTGTGATGCAAAGTGTTTTTAGCGGGATCCTAATTGTTTCCATAGACTTGATCAGGCTCTCTTCATGCAGTTAAATCGAATTGTAAAAGTGAGAAATTATCTTTCTTTATCATATGGAAATGGTTCCTTATATACAACTTTGCATTACGTAATAGAAAAAGATGTATCTGTGTGGATAGGTTGTTTCCTAGCCTGCATTAGATCTCCTTGCGAGAAATGTTTTTGTGGTGGGTGACTGAACTCAGATCGTGAGCTGCCTACATATCCTCGTCGAGGGATCAAGTCTAAACGTAGTTTGATTGTTTGCCCAGTAAATAGGGTCATTTTTTTCGATTTGTTTGTGTACATGAGTCCGATTCTTGTTGTTCTTGGGGCTTCTTAACTGGTCCTATGGGTTTGGCTCGATGACTTTGAAACTCGAGATATAGCATGTTCTGGAGTTCTTTTGACTCCCTTTTATGGTTTTGATTCCTCTTGGCGTAGGGAACTTCAGACATTGATGATAAGTTGAAGGTACTGCTTTCAGACAGTATAGACATGGTTTTCCGAGGATGGCGTTAAATGGAGCGGGTCGATCTATGATGATAAATTCGATGATTTTTTCTTACGTCTCCGGCGGTTATGGCGAACTCGATGGATCCGAGAGAATAGGTAGTCTCTTATGCGAATCCGATTAGTGGGGTTCTCTCTTGTTTGAGGAGCGTTTTTGTGAATCCCATTCTTTCGAATGCGTCGTAGAAGAGTACGTCTGCGGAGCTTCCGGTATCTATCATGATTCTGGATAATTCGCATCCTCTGACGTCAAGCCATATAACAAGTGCGTCGTCATGTAGTTTATCGAGGTATGCAGTTTTATTTTTGTCGAAGGTGATTTTGGGATCGGGGCCTGACAAAGGTTCGCGTATGCCGATGCTGCTTTTCGCTCTGCGTTGGTGTGCTTTGATGGAGTTGGCCGAGTTGTAGAATTTCGATCCTCCATAAATGAAGTCGATTGTTTTTCCCTTTTTCTGGTGGTGGGTCGGGAAGTACCATATTTTGGTCAGTGTCGGCTGGTGGTGTCCTTGCCCCCCAGACAGGTTGGATTTGAGTAAACGCGTGTTGTGCTTTTTCTTATGTATCATTTTCTCCAGCAGTCGTCGAAGTTTGCCGAATTTTTTGTTTTCCTTAGGCTCGTGGTGGCATCTGTTTGTTCGTCTGAGAGGAGGAGAACATGTCCAATCGAACTTCTTCGGGCCTTGTATCGTCATCATGATGTCGATGCTTATTCGTTTCGTGGTTTGATTCGGTGTCTTTTTGTGTTCGGATCCCCATAAGATCATGTTGACTCTTTTCTTTGGGGCTGGAGGCAGAGATTCTGGTGTTTCTGGCTCGACTTTTCTGCCGCTTTTGCCTTTATTTTTGACTTTCGGGGTCGTTAGAATTTATCTTCTTCTGCTTTTCGCCATTCTCTTTATTTTCTTCCTTGTTGCGGAGTGCTGCGCGACATTCTTCGGGTTGAATGCCCCTTTCGCTTGTGGAAGGTGCAATACTTGCTTGGGTCATACGTCGATTGTTTGTTCTGTGATGACTAGTCTATGGCGTAGGAATGCTGTCCTTTGGTAGTTTGTTCCTTTGGAGTACTCGGCTTTTTAGTTATTCCGTTCTTGTTGGCGTGATATTGTTCCTTCAAGGCGGCTATTTCTTCTTCGAGAGTTGCAAAGTAGGATGCACGATACAACGCGTGAAGTCATCGATCGAATTCCCTTCGAGCCCGGCGAGCCACTCCAAGGAGGGACCTGTGAGATTTTCGGCGAAGAAACGGCAATAGCCCGCTTCTCTCTCCTCGTCATTGAGGTGGGCTCTTGATGCGGCCAACCGTAAGGCCCGCACGTGCGCCTTCGGATCGGAGTTACCCGAATATTCAGGGAACTTGATCTTCCCAACGTCGTGTAACCTTACACTGGTTATTCGGTTTGTGAACGGAGTCCGGCGAGTCTCCTCGATAACTTGATTGATATCGGGGGCCGAGCTCGTTGCCATATGTACAATGGCATGTATCCTCTTGAGTTCAGCGTCGTTGTTTTCAACGTAGCTTCAAAACGCTCCTGTTTGACTTGAGGATCTTCG